GGCCCGGGGGGATGGCTGTGGTGCTGCGCCTCGTCTGCTCGCTTCTGGTGGGCTCTGCGGGCGGAGCGGGACTCTCGGGCCTCACACCGAACAGTGCGAGTTCCCCAGTGTCCCTTTTGATGTGGGAGACGGAGAGACAACAGGCTGTAGCCTCGCCAGGCAGAGCTGAGGTGTAGGTCGTCTTCTGGCGGATCAGGAGGGAAAGTAAGTGGAGATGTGGCAGGGGGACAGAGGGAAGAGGAGAGAGCGCAGCGTTGGGATGGAGCTTGAGGGAAGGAGGCCTCAGGGCTGGTGTTGAGGGGAGCTGTGGGGTCACGCTTGGCTTGGGAGGAGCTGCTTCAGGCTGGGCGTGCTCCCTTAGAGGCACCTGGAGTTTATTTAATGCTGGCCTGCATTGAGGACCCGTGATGAAAACAACCTGTGAGAAATGTTTTGTTTAAATTTTAATTTGTTGGGGTTTCTCTGGCACTTCTGTTTTTATTAGAAATAAATGGAAGGAAGGTGACATGAAGTAGACTTTGTTCTGTTAGGAGTCAGAATCGGTTCTCTGTTGGGAAAGATGGTGGTCACGCTTTTGGAAGAGGTGTTTGTCGAGGTTATTTACACGGTGAAAAGAGGATATGTTCTAGTTGTGTTCTGGTAAATAATAGCGCTAATCCAGCAGAAAAGACTGGACTGTTGCAAACTAAACAACTAAACCAGCAAGTCTGCTGGTTAACCTCATCTGCTGAACAGTCATGTGGCAGAATGGCCCAGGAGTTCTCGTACCCACTTTCCACAGCTGAAATAGGACTTCTTTTTTTTTAAACAAATGGTATGTCAATGAAACTGTTGGCTTTGAGACAGACTGTAGCTCTTGATCTGCCACTTTATGGAAAGCGGTGCTTTAGGCTGTGGTCTGTATGGTAGGTGGGCAAAGCTGGGGGTGGTAGTCATGAGACCGATTGTTGTCTTGGGAACTCGATGATCTTTAAGGTCCCTTCCAACCCAAACTGTTCTATGAGCTGTCTTCTGTGAGTCCTTAAGTAACTTAACTCACACCTCAGTTTCCTCTCCGTAGGTAAGGTATATTATAATATTTCTCTACTTTTCTAAGGGTAGTGAGGATAAAGTGCAGTGGGAGATTGCAGGGTGCTGTGAAGTGTCATGTGCATTAGAGACTGAAGTGGGTCTTAGTTGAGTCATCTTTGGGCTTCAGACTTTGACTGCAGGAGGATGCTTTGTGGAAGAGAATTGATAAGAACAACAACCGTCTAGCCTGGTTAAATGAATGGGGGAGCCTTTATTTATTTAGCCAAATTTAACAACACATTTTCCTCCTCTGTTTAACCAGTCCTGTCTTATAATTTCAGTTGCGCTGTTGCTGTGATCTTCTCTGTTAACTGCTGCTTTACTAACAGAGCTACTCGTTCTCTTGCTGCTAGAGTCTGCAGTAACAGACCTGTCAGCTACACCGGAGATCCACTTCTGGAGCACGTCACTGGTTTCCCACTGGTGGTTTCCCACTGGTGGTTTCTCACTGGTTTCACCCTTGCATGCTGGTTTGGATGCCTTGTGTCACACCTAGCTGGAGGCTGTCTCTGCCTTGGTTAAAGGGGAGGCAGTGTGACTGCAGCACAGACTACCACTTGCTTGTCCCAGCTGTTTGTTTGGGTGTACAAGGGGTGAATGATGAAGCATTTGGAGAGGGGACATCAGTGCCTCTGTTCCAGCTAGAGGTGGGGGCTAACACATGGGTCGAACAATACCTGTACTGATGTCTGAGTTTTCCTGTGTAATTTATCCCGTGCTTTTTATGCTTTGTTTTCTTTTCTAAAATAGAAATCACACAGTGCTGTAGACAAGTGTTGCATGTTGTGTATCTCGTGCATCTAGCAAGATGATGATCCTAAGTCACTGCTGTTAAAACCATTTCTTATATGCACTGAGTCTTCCAGCTGTCCTGTAGAATCACATTGGCGCAGTCAGTTTAAGCACTGATGGAGTAGGGTTAGTTATTACAGCTGTTGCATGAAAATTAAAAACTCTCAGTGCAACATTTTATGTTTCTACACTGTTGCTTGCTTTTGCTGCATCCTCTTCAATGTAGTCTTTGACACTGTAAGTATGTAGCTGTGAGGTGCCTCCGGAGGCTGTATCTCTCTTTGAGAGCTTGTTTCTTTCAAATTTTGAAAGTAGAGATGGAGGGATACTAGATGAAAGAGGAATTTGTTGGGTTTTTTTTTGAAAGGCAGACTCTTCCTGATTTCCCACTTCACAGAGCATCCAGGTTATTTAATTGAGTTAGAGAGATCATGTGCTCTCTAATAGATTTATGTAAAATTTAAGTCTGAACAGTGGCTTCCTGTATGATAGACAGTTTTCAGTGGTAAGATGTGCAAATTATGTTCTTCAGAGGGAAATCTGACTAAATAGTGAGACATGCTTTTCTAATGGTCATTTTCTGTGTAAATTTGGGTACACTGCAGGTATCTGTGATGCAATATAAATATTATTTAATATCTAATGTTTAATAAACTAATATTTTAAATACTATAACTATGTTCTTAATGTCTTAATGGTTTTTTTTTTAAATAATCCCAATATTTTATGCATAAATTAGATGGCTTAGAGTGAAAACTTTAAAGTTCTGAGCAGTTGGGGCAGATCGTAGTTCAGGAGTTAAAAAACTTTATCTTTATGGAGTGGGAAAATGTCTCATTTGGCATCATCTTTTTGTAAAAGATGTTTGTAATACTGTTCTGAAGGTGTTTTTCACTGCTCTCTCATAAGCAATGCTAAGAAATAAAATTAAATATATTTTTCTTTCCCATCTGTGTGCATTATGGTGAGGGAACAGTTTCAGATTTTTGAGAATTTACTAGGAACGCAGATTAAGTAAATGGTAGCTCTGTTGAAAGCATCCTGTTATGTGTGAGATGGGAAGTGAGTCATTGATTCCAGGTCCCCTACCACTGTGGGAATGATGTCATTTAATTCCTCGTAAGATTTCCTTTTTTTTTCCCCCCATAGTTTTTTCTTAATCAGTAGAACTCCTGGTGATATTTACCCACTCACCTGTGTCAGAATATGCTTATTCATTCCCTTTTTCATCTTTTTTTCTTTTTCTGAAAAGAATCAACTGAAAATGTCTCAGAATCCTGACAAGCCAGATTCAAGTGAAGAAAAGTTGGGTGCTTTGGAGGATGGTCAAGAGGAGAGCTTGGACAACCCGGATCGGTCTATCAGAAGAAGAATACGACAGAGTGCTGCAGGGTCACACAGAGATGATACACCAAAATGTAAGCAAAACTGCTTTATTTTTTAAAAAAAGTAAATTCTGTGATTTTTTTGGTAAAGATAATCATGGCGTTTTATAGCATTCTGTGCAAGCTTGACTGTTTTGCAATTAAATATTGTGTGACTCCTGATCATTTGCTTTGAAACGGTTTGTGACACCTTTCTCCCTATTCTGTTTTAGTTCTTAATTGTTCACTATAACCATGTTTCTCTGAGCCACGTATATCTTGGATACCTTTGTGTGTCTGCACTCACGGAGAGGATAAGCACTGTTCCAGTGTATTCTAGCTAAGCTGTTGCTGCTGTTTGCATTATCAGCTGAACCTTCTGGATTGCTGCAGCCTCTCTTTCTACTGTAGGGCAAGGAACTGCCATCAACAGAGCAATGGCCTGTCACCCTCCTCCTGACACAGATGGGAAGTTGTATATTTAGTCCCAGTACTACTTCTAGTGTCAGGCAGGACTGCATATTTTAAGTTTATTCATAGGGCACATTTTTCTTTGTCATTCTGCTTTGAACGTTAGAAGCTGGATGCATCATGGCCACCAATTATTTCTGGCAAATCTATAGATAAAACCGAGGGGAAGTTTTCTGATCCCAGGGATTCAATTCAAAGAGGCAGAAGTGCTCACATAACTAGTTCCAAATTTCTGTGGAGTGTGTCTCAGCATGTAACACTTTTTTTGTTGCATTCTTTTTATTTTTTAATAGTGCCCATTATGACTTGAGGTTTAGTGTTGTGTTACACAGAGGAGATGTTCTGAGGGAGTTTATGTTCTTACATCTCGCTGGTTGCCTGATAAGGAAACGCGGTGTATGTATGGAGAGAGGCTGTGAACACGTGAAAGTAGAATGCAGCGCAGTTTTGCACTGCATCGTACCACAAAGAAGTCGTTGGTCTCAAGCCCTCCCCTCTTGTAAGGAAGCAGATATCATATGAGAATGAAGTGACATGATTTAAGAGCATTCTTTGGTGAATGAAAGAGTCTTAGCTTTTAGTGCATCCACTGCTAGGGTGAAGTCATTTGTCAGTCAGACAAGAGCACCCTCATTCAGCTGGGAGCTTTGTTGTCCTGCTGGTTCTTCTCAGAATATCAATCCTTGCTGTGTTCCCAGAGCCACTGTGCAAGATTCAGCTCCAAGCAGAAGGAAATAAGGGTTTAGGAGGGCTGCACGAGAAGAGCAAGATATTAATGGAAAATTGGCATCTTGGAACTGTACTGTATATGCTTGGAACAGCTTTGAATGGCAGACAGGGGATGGACAGTTACCTTTAAAGGACCTTTTCTATGTTACTAGCTTAAATCCACTCAAACTGGGTTATCAAATGAGGCAGACATGATAGTTTGCCTAAAACATATCTCAGTGAACCCAGCCTATAAAGATCCCTGGTTGGTTTCTTTAATTTTGAGAGTTAGTATGTTGCCCCTGTGCCCAGACTGTAGTTGAAGTGAATGAACTACAGAGAGGAATCGATCCCTTAGGGTAATTCTGTTGTGGCTCTTTTCCCCTCTTCTGCTCTGCTAGGTGTTTTTGGGGGAGCTGAGATGAACCTTGCTATTCGTGTCTGCCTCACCTGAGGACATGAGTGTGCTAACACAGCTAGGAGGAATCTTTACCACAAAGAATCAGTTGCAAAAGGTTTCGGTTGGCTTCAGTGAGGGTGGAATTACTCCCCTAACCAGCATGGCCTACACCCTTGGCACCTTCTCTGCCTTTATGTTGACTTGTTTTTAGGGCTGTGATACTTCCTGCACTACAGCAACGCCAGCAGTGTCCCAGGAGGATGTTATGTAGGGCAGAACAACTAGGAGCTGCAAATCCCACTGCACCCAGGAAACAAATTAAGTTTCCTGAAACTGTCCCTCTTCCACCTTCTACACTCAGTCACTACCTTTGTCTCCTGCCTAATGAAAATGCCTGTTTTTTCAGGTTTGGCGCTTCTTCCTACTTACTTGTATGCCCCAGGGCCCAATTTGAAGCTGCTTGTTCATCCTTGTCAGTCCCAAATGCCTGCCAGAGGACGAAGTCATAGGCATCAGTGCTGGGGCTAGGTCTTGACATCCTTTGTCACTTGCATGATGGCCTCTGGGGAGAAAGAGTTCGGAGAAGTGCCAGTTGCACTGGAGTAGTGAGAATAACTAGCTACTGGTGTGTTACTGCTTAATGTTAAAGGTGGTTTGTTTGCCGACTGCTTTAAAGATGAAATTGCTTCCTCAAAAAATAAAAAATTGAAATGGCAACGTTTGCATGATCATTGGGGAAATAGTGCGGTGAAAATAGTGGTATTTTTAATGATTTCTTCTGACAGTGTGGGGAAAGATGCTAAGATGCTATTAAGCAGTCCTAAAGAAGTGGAGGTTTGGGTGTGGGGGTTTTTTGGTTGTTTTTTTGAAAGAGCTTGATAAAACTTGGAAGCAATTGACATACTGAGCCCAGAATATTGACGGTTCAGTCCTTTGTTTTCTGCAGTACTCCTGCAGTACTGTGTTATTCACCAGCTGGGAAGGGAAGGAGAAGAATCTTCAGATGATACTGTCTTTTGGCCCTCTGTACTATCAAGAAGGTGGAAAGCATCCAAAAGCATTAGCAGACTTTTTTCCACGGACGTTTATAGATAACTGTCTGACAGTTTAATTTATGTTGCAGCTAGTCCTCCTCGGCCTGTGTCAATAGAAGAGCTCATAGAAACAGCTAAGGGAGTAACCAACATGGCATTAGCACACGAAATTGTTGTTAATGGAGACTTCCAGATAAAACCAGCTGAGTTACCAGAACACAGGTAAGATTGTTGCCAAATAGATACATAAATAAAATTTGCATTTGTAGAACTGCAGAACATTTCTAGTGGATCAGGTAAATGCTCTGTCTGGTATCTTGTCTGGCAGTTCCTGGCAGGAAGTAGGAAAGAACATAAGAAGGTGGTAAGCACACATTTCTGCTTCCCTGGAAATGTGTGTGCATGAAAGGTGAACCTCTTGGAATAATTGTTTGGGCACATGTGGTGCAAATCCCCATGTGGTGTGGTGTGTTTTCTGTTGGTGTCCCCGGAGCCTAGGACCGCAGTCTTCTGAATACCCAAGCGTAGCTGCAGATGCAGGTAGTGCTCTTAGCATCTTTGAAGCTTTCACTGCCTGTGGGAGTAAGATGAAGCTCTGATCGCTTGAGCTTTTTCTGTTTCTCCAGGGATTTTTTGTGAAGAGATTCCTGTGTTTTATTAGGTTAGTCCTTGCTCTTTTTAAGTTTGATGTCTTTCCTTCTGTGTCTGACCTACAGTAATTCTGTCCCCTGCTGAGAGGGGGGAAGGAGAACGGAAGCAGCCTTGACGACTGGTCATATATCAACCTGTGGAGCTGACCCAGTCCTATCTACAGATGCTTTATCTGCTCTTCCTTTTTCTTTCATGCACAGAGAGCTGTGGTCACTGACAATGTGTTTCTTGAGTACATTTGTGGAAGTACGTGTGTATTTAATGGAAACAACTTGGTCCACATTGGAACCAGTGTTGTCTGTAGGGGTCTGCGTTTGAGACAGAGACCCCAGAGCATGCTGCCTTCACAGGAGCTGCAGGAAGGATGTGCTACAGACTGGCAGTGGTTGTCCTCTGTAGAAACTGGTCATACCGAGACACAAGGTCTGATGCCTGTCTCCACCAAAACACGGTGATGGTGGTCCCTGTTAGCGTTAGTAATAAGACAATGTTGCTTAGAACTAGAATTGTCCCTGACTGAAGAGGCAGTAATGGGAACAGTCTCATCTTCCCTTCTCACCTGGACTATCGCTGTCTTTCCAGCTCTGACACCAGTGTGTGATACCAGTGATGTTTTATTAATGGCTGGGGACTGCTAAACACCTGAGACATGCAAAGCTCATTCTCTCCGTTCTACATTATCTTTTCTGTCCTAGCATCTTTAGGGGGAACTTCCATCAGGGGTTTTCTGCTTAGCGGCTGATGGCTGAGAATAAATGTTTCATCTACAGTCCCATAGTCAAGAAGGTGCTGTTCTATTCTGTGTCTGCTCCATGTTCCTTCACATGGATTTCTCATATGAAAATGTACTGTGACAGTGGATAGCTTTTCTGGTATGCCTCAGTGCCATAAAATTGATCTCAGCATTTTTCAAGGAAGCAGGATTTTAGCATGTTTTCTTTTTTCCATCCTTTCTTCTTTCCCACCCTCTTTAAAAAAAAAAAAAAAAAAAAAAAAAAAAAAGAAAGAAAATGAAAATTAAAAAGGAGGGAAGAGCTGGAGACCCATCCTGTACTTTGGGAAGTTGGATGCTTTTGTTCACTGATGCTGAGCAGAGGCTGTAGTTGTGCACCAGAGTGGTGATTGGCATCTCTTCACCTGATCGCAGAAATAGATGTATTGCAGGGGTCACCTTGCTCAGGAGTGCTGGGGCTTTGTGATGGACCAGGCCTGTTTGGTACAGGAGCCCTGTATTTGGCTTTTGAGAGGGCTTTGGTTGCAGTTATTTACCACCTAGAAAAGAAAGAGCAGGCCTTCAGATTTTGCTTGAAGAGGGACTCTGGAATGTTCCTTGTATTAAATGTTTTGTGTGTGTGTAGCTTAGAGTCGCCTGCAGCTTGAACGTGTAGAGGAGTGGTTGGAGGAGAAAGCAGCCGTGGCTGCTCTTGCAGATGTATGTGCTGTCAGGACAGCACGTAGGGGCTAGTTTGGGGCCACGGGGCAGGAGTGCCTCTGGGCACTGCCCGAACCTCTGCTGCACACAGAGTCAGAGCCTGGGGAGTCCGGTGTTCGTTGTGGGCGTTCTTTGTGTGCGCGTGAGTATTTTACTTCTTCAGTGTTGAAGTCAAACCTGCTGTGAGCAGGTACTGAAGCAGTGGAATTCATTTATTTTTTACACGAACTGAACTGTGCCTTTATCTCAGAGTAGCTGCAGTATTTATGTGTTGAAATGCAGAAGCTGTTGTGTCAGCGAAGTTGCTTAATTTCTGTTAGTTTTACTTAATGAATTCCACTGAGTAGAACTGTATTTACTTAATGAGGCTTTTGAAGGGAACATGAATACTAGTCTTTTCAAGACAATCTGTAACTTTTTTATTTTTTCTTTGCTTGTTTTTTGGTTTTGTTCCAGTTGTTTACTTTGGAGGTAGCATATGACAGATACTTTAAAGGATTTTAATTTGTACCTACCTTTGCTTGTGTGTAACCCTTTATTAGGATATAAGCCATTCCAAATCCTGTGTCCAGTTTTTCTTGCTTTTCTGAATAACTTAAAATGACAGATCTCTTCCCTGTTAATCGTCATATATTCATTATTACCTTATATTTATATTATTCCATGCTGTTCTTCAGGAGCTGCAGGTTATCTCTGTAAGGTGGTGCAGAGATAATTATTGTTCTTTTCAACTGATCATATTTACCCACAGCTTAGAAAAAAAAGTAAGAGATATTGTGCATAAAGCTTTCTGGGATTGTCTGGAAGCTCAGCTAAAGGAAGATCCACCGACATACGACCATGCAATTAAACTACTGGGAGAAATTAAAGAGGTAAGATGATGTGATATCATGGTAAATTATTGAATTTGAGTAGCTGTATTGATATGAACGAGCAAAAGCGGTTGAGGTTTGGCTGCTCATAAAGGACTCAGTTGATCTTTTTCATTGCTGTATCATTGCCTGTGACCATATCTAAGTTGTATAACCCCAGAGGAGATATTGTAATGAAAAAACAAATGCAAAACCATGTGAGATGAATAAAAGGTAGGTAATACTGGCTTCATAATTCCAGGCCTCCTTCATGTTATGACAGTAGCATTTGTTATGGAAGCAGTGAGGTGCCCCACCATGGGGCTGACGAAGCCAAGCACAGGAGTCTTTAAGTGTGATCTGTACTACAGAGTATGTACCACTTAGTAACTTCAGTATCGTACAGAATGAGGTGAAACATTTGGAGTTGGTGAATGGTTGTTGGTTAAAAAAAAATTCCACTTGTAAATGGCAATTAGTTGAAATAAAAAGTGGTTCAATAACTGTTTTGATCCTTGTAGTCTTTGATATGTAGAACTAATGCACTGTCAAAAACTTTCTGTTTCAGAATCTCCTGTCTTTCTTGTTGCCTGGTCATACCAGACTGAGAAGCCAAATTACGGAAGTTCTTGACCTGGATTTGATAAAACAGGAGGCAGAGAACGGGGCCCTTGACATTTCTAAATTGGTCGGATTTGTTATTGGGATGATGGGGACTCTCTGTGCTCCAGCTCGAGATGAAGAAATTAAGAAACTGAAAGATATTCATGAAATAGTTCCTCTGTTCAGGTACTGAAATGGTGTTTAGTAGTTATGTCAAGACTCCCTTAAATAATTGTAGATGCAGTAGGGGTTTCTGGCAGGGCAACCTCCAGGTCTTTTGTAAGAAATAAAAAAGAGTGATAAGGAAAGGGATATAGCTGTGAGTGTGAAGGGGAAAGATGCTTCAGAAGTCTTTAACAAGGACTCTCTTTGTTCTCGGGAATTGGAATATTTGTCTGGCTCCTGCTTGTCACTGAAGGACATTTTCTTAAATGTCAAATGCATATAAGCCTGAAGATAGCAGCAGCTGAATGGTCAGTTTGTATCCGCCTTTAATACAAACAGCAGAAGGGGGGGAAAAAGTATTATTGTTCTCCAACCATTTCTTCCTTTCCCCCCAGTTTGAGCTCTCTTTACCTCCCACCCCACTCCCTGTATAATTTCCTTTCAGTTCTAAAGGGAGTGTATGTGCCACAGCTGGGAGCAGAGAGGCTTCTGCTTTGTCACCGTGTTCTCAGCTAAACAGCTCAAGGTCTCAGTAGTTAGAGGAAATTCTATTAGCTTTGTTGGTTTTAATTTGATACGTTTCCAACAGTTCAGGATTGACTTGGCAGAAATATTGCCAGTAGGAATTAGGTTGTTTTGAAATTAAGGTGTTTATTCTTTTTTTTTTTTTTTTTTTCCCTTGTGTCTGATTGTTCCCTTCCCACTGAGGTTGGTTTTCTAGGCTGCCAACAGAGATAGTATGCAAGCTTGGAAACCCAGATATCTTTTTATGTATTCAACATATGGTATGGCACAGCCTGGGAAATATGATCTATGGAGTTAATTCCATGGAGGCTTTTTCACAGGAGAGCAAGATTTATTTCCTTCTTGGAAGAGGCACATGCTTTCATGTACATGCTTGCTCAAGCTTTCTCTCTGTTTCATGCTCTTAAATTGTTAAGCACCCTGTTAACGTTTCCCGTGCATGTTTTTGCTCTTTCCTTAGACAATCTGTAATAAATCTTGTAAACAGTACCTCTTGAACATCTGCAGCCTTGAATAACTTTTTCTGTTTGTTTGTTTAGAGCCATTTTCTCTGTATTAGACCTAATGAAAATGGATATGGCAAACTTCGCTGTCAGTAGTATTAGGCCAAAATTAATGCAGCAGTCTGCTGAATATGAAAGAAGGAAGTTTCAGGAGTTTCTTGAGAAACAGCCAAGTATGACTTTGTTCCTTTCTTTCTTCCCCTCTGACCTCCCAGTAAACTGCGTGTCTTTGCTTGTAGTTCATGAAATCAGATTTTTTGTAAGTTCTAGAATTCATGTGGTAAATGACAGCTTGTGGCCCAAAACTGTGGTTTGAAAAAAATCTGCCGAAACAAAAGTTCTGCACTTAGTACACTGGAGTTCGGTTTAATTTCGATACAGTGTAGGGCATAATTGACTACCATCACCTCGCCTCTGATTTCCTGTAGCTGTGTGGTTTTAATTTTGTTTTAGGTGTCCTGCTTAATGCAATAAATGAAATGCATGTCAGCAACTGATATCATGGGTATTGGGAATAGTCACTAAGGGGATTATTTGGAAATTAATGGTGGGAAAAAAAATCTAACTTTGAAAAGGAATTTTCTTAACAATATTTTTTTCTTTCCCTGCTCTTCCAGATTCTTTAGACCTTGTCACAAGGTGGTTGCAAGAAGCAGCAGACGATCTTGCCAAGCTGAGAGGTGAAATGTTGCCTTCCCATTGTAGGGATGGTGCCACTGGTGGAGCTCCCGCCTTGTGCCCCACTGCTGTACAAAATCAGGCCTATCTGAAGCTCCTAAAGTGGGATCATGTAAACAGGCCTTTTCCAGAAGTAGGTATTTAGCTGAAAAATCAGTTACAGTTACCCAGTTTCTGGGTTATAACAGAAGCTGTTTGGATTTGTAGACTTGCAACAAGTATGATACTAAACTATTTAACTTTTGATTGAGAGCTCTTGTGGCTCTTCTAATAGGTACTTTTTTTTCAGTATTGAAACTTAGTTGGAAAAGAGGAGTTAATTCTTATCATTTTATTCCTGGTAGTTGCCTGCTGCGCATGTGTTGCTCTTTTCTGTGTCTCTGTCTTCCCCGCTGTGAATAGTTTGGCATCGCAATGTCGCTTCACAGCCCAGCCTCCTGACTGTTCTGTGCTGGCTTCCTCCTTGTTTGCAGACAGTGCTGATGGACCAGATCCGCTTTCAGGAAATTCAGCTGGAGCTGGAGCAACTCCTCGTGACGGGGACAGTCCTTCTGGTCACGTTCAGTGCAGCAGGCCCGGCGCTCGTCGATATGCCCGGATTTGCTGAGAAAATCAAAACCATTGTCAAGGTGCTGCTGACAGGAATGCATCTTCCGTGAGTATTGAATGACCCTCATCCCACTAAGGCAGGCAGAGTTCCTTTTCACCCTGGCTTTATCTGGATTACGCTTCTTCCATTACGTTAGATAACTAAGGCAACTATAATCGGATAATTTATTTTTAAAAGGTGGAGAAAAAAGTGAAGAACTAAAATGGCTGAGTAATGCTCTGCTTCACATTCTCTAGGTCCTTCAACCTGAAGGAATCTTTAGCTACCATCGGTGAAAAGGTGTGTGCTGAAGTGAACAGCTGCCTTTCCCAGCACGGGTTTACACCTTTCTCAGCTGAGAGAGAGACTGTACTGAAAGGACAAATCCAAGCAGTGGCCAATCCGGATAACACCATATGCAAGCTCATAGGTATGCTTTGACAAAAATGCTGTTCTCAAGCGACCCCTCATCTGTCTTTGTAAAACTGTTGGTGGCATGTCACGCATGGTTTCTCATTTAATCTGTTTCAAATACTTGTTTGCTATGTTCAGGCTTTCTGTATTTTACATGAGATTACACTGTTTCTAATTGACTGTCTCTTCTGCAAACAAACCAAAACCCTTGGTCCAATTTTTCCAGATTCTCGAATTCAAAAGTTTCTGGAGAATTATCTTGCATCTAGTCACCAGAAATCATTGCCTGCTATTCCTGGAGGATTAGGCCCTATCCAAAGAGAGCTGGAAGAGATTGCTGTCAAGTACGTTCGTCTTGTCAACTACAACAAAATGGTCTTCAGCCCTTACTATGATGCAGTCCTTGGCAAAATACTGATTAAGGAAGAATCACAACTTGTAATCAGAAGAATCATAAAACCAGTTTGTGTGGTACCAATATGGTATTAACTTTGTCAGTTATTTTAAAAAATTGCGCCAATATTTGTCTAGGAAAACAGCTTTCCATGTAAATACTGGTTCCTTTTAATTCACTAGTGGTGATTGACCAGGAAAATACATGAGATGCAAAAGGGGTTCTGAAGTAAATGAGGAAACAGAGGTGCATTTTTAATCTAAGTGTGCAGTGGGGGGGGTATGTCATGGTAGTTTTCTGGCTGCAATTTTTAGATTTTTGAGCTAATGCTAGGTAGGACAAGTTTAAGAACGACACTGTGTATTTAAGTGGCTCATTTTAGGGCATTTTACTCTAATTTACTGTGAATTTAGTTTAATTAATCCCAAGCAGATTAGCAATGGTCCTTCCCAGAAGGGGTGATTTGGCTTTAAAAAAATCTTACTTTAAAGACTTGAGAAGTAAGCTAAAATTCTAGATAATAGAAACTTTAACAGGCAAAAAACAAAGCCAAACAGCACTTTATTGTAACATTATGGTTAGTATGGTAGGCTACTAGTTTTTTCTGCATTATACTGTGTTTTTAATAGCATTTTTTTGCTGTTTACCTGCAGATGTTACAAAACACATAATATATTTTTGTAGCAAATTTTCTGGTTATTGGGTAACTGTCCTCTGCTATGTACAGTACTTATAAAGGTGGCAATCTTATAGATTGCAGCTGTATTTATCTCTTGTAAAGACTTCAGAAGGGCAGAGCTAAAATGTTTTGATAAAAGTGGCATTTCTTACCATTTTTTTGCTAGTAGTTTACTCCTTTTTATGTGAAATACTAATTTTAAAGTAGATTTTTGTCATTTTCAGAAGGTGGATTTAAAGTGTGTGAAACTTTAGGCTGAAAATTTTACTTGTTTTTTAAAACTACAACTGGTGATGGTTGCATATTCAATCATGTCATCAAAAATTTCCAGGAAGTGCAGAGCACATGGGAAGTATAAACGATTTTAATGTACTGTGAGAAGTGACTGATTTAATGTTAGTTTGAATACACAGGGAATACTTTCCATAGAAGACTTTTTTCACTTTGTAGAGATATTCTTGAAATTTAAATTTTTGTAGGTCTTGAATTTCATTAGCTACCTGTTGTATAGATGATTGTTCACGGAAGAGCTCAATAATTTTACAGCCTTATTGCAATTTCAGACTCAGCTAGGAGGTAAGTACATTTGAAATTTTCCTCTAGTTGAGCACAACGCTGTATTACGGTAATCAAAATTTGATGATTTTATGAAAGCAAACTTCATCGTTATAAACAGTAAGCGTCCCAAGTACTACACTATCCGAAATAGAATGTGTTGTCTTCTTTAAAAAAGAAACAAGTTATGTAAATAACTAAAAGGGCCCTTTTGTTGCTAACATCCAGGTTCATTTTATTAATCAACTAGTCAACCAAAAGAATAGAACTTCTAGAAGGAAGCACTTGATTACGAATCAGTGCTGATGTTTCCCATTCCAGTTTTCCTTTAAATGTCAGTGTGTATATAGCTTCACCGACTCTGAGTTGGGAGGAAGGTGGGATAAGACAGACTTTTTATTCCATATTAGTCTGTGCAACTATAAAACAAATATTTTCTCACTCAAGACAAACCTCCTTCCCCAAGGGGAAAACAACCAAAACCCTGTAAGAGATCTGCAGCTCAGACAAGTGATTTTTCTCTTGGCTAAATGTACTCATAAAATGGATGTCTGTCTTTACATCTTTCTTTGATAACTCAAAAATGAGTAGGTTGGTTAGCCAGAAAAAAGTTCTGGTAAGTCTATTTAATTGTTTGAATCAGCAAAGGATACTACAGAGGTCTTCTAGATTGCTGCATCTGCTTACTGTACTGTGTTATTAGTGCAGGATCCACCTCAAGATACAGACTATAGCTCTGCAGCTCCAAACAATGAATTCAGTAGTCTGTGTAACAAAAGAGCTACCAGAAACATTATTGCTAGAAAGATTTTTAAAAAATAAATAACCAAGACAAAGCTGTTTTCATTTTTGTTAAGTGAAGGTTGCAGAAGTTACACACTGCTGCTGTTTTATATTTTATTATTGCCTAGAAGCTGCCTCTAAAGGCCACTGTGAATTATGCATACTACAGAAATTCACGTGCTGTTGGGGATGATCTCAAGGATGTGGGAGGAACATCATGGTGACACAACATACCTAGAAAAGCCTTTGAAAAGTATGTGATGGATGCCAGAATGAATGGGACTGCATTATCAATAGATAAAACTGTACTTACTTAATTTAAGCTGGGGCTGCTCCCAGTTCTGGAATTAAGGGTCCAGATGTCATGGTTGACAATTCCTGCTTACTCTGACATCGAAGCCTGGATTGTGCTGACACTAGTGCATGCATATTGCTCGCAGGGTCGACACAGCAAGTCCCATCTCTCCTTGCAGTAGGGGTTTGATTCCAAGGCTTCCTGTAGACAAAAGTACAGTACCCAAATCGGGCCCCAGTCTCACCTTTGGGGTACATACCCTGGAAATGAGCACCACTGGGCGTGGATGCTGTAGGATTTTCAACAGTAAACATCTAAAGAGACTGTAATAAATGCCCACAAGTGTAAATCACATCAGTGATTTTTCCAGGTTGTTTTCTTAATGCTAGTGGATGACAAATAAATTTATTTTAAAGAGGATGTAGAGAAACTATTAAGTGACAAAGCAAAAAAGAACTTTTAGGATTGATAAAGGCCAGACCCTACCTCCATGTGTCCACTTATCTGGTTATACATACGCTGTTCCACTTTTAGTCTGGGAGATAGCACTGACCTGCAGTCATCTGTACGATTGGTGCTGGGAATGTCTTTCAACTTGCCAAGTATCTGAATGTCCTGTGGTCCATGGGGGTTCTTATGATCTCACCAGAGTGCAATTCTGAATAGACAAAGTTAAAATCTAAAGTATGCATAGAAACTGCTTCAAAAGTTCATATAGTGTTTTTGTTAGCTTGTTTGAAAATAAGGGGTTAAACGCTGTAGCTAATATATTAACATTTAGCTTTGTACATAAGTGGAAGACCCATGCAGTTATCCAGGACCAGATTGTGTAAGTTAGCACTCCTGGACAATCCACATTAGAAATATGTACAGAGTTTGTCTCATGATGCTGTCTGCTTTAACCAGTCATGGAATTAAAAGCAACAGTATACTGTATCCTCTAGAAAAATGGAAGAAGAGTGAATCCTAATATGTATACTCTGATCAATTTCCTGTGATGGTCTTATAACATTGCTTTTGAAGTGGCTGAGTAATATTTAAGAAGTAACGTGTTGTGTTTGAATAAAACCAGAATGAGGCATGATGTTATGGATATCCTTTTATTTTAAAGGAATGTTTTTTCCATTTTCAACTACAAAACAGATCTCATACATTCTGCCATAAATAAAAACGAACAATAAGGCAGGACACTACATGAACAAACTGAGAACAACTGTTTTCCAGAAAATGTGAATTAAAAATGCTTCACAAGTATAAGCCATCCAGTTTTTAAAATAAAACTGTTGAAAACCCACAAGATTTCAAGTGGTAGATGTGAACACCCTTGAAGAACAAAATGCAGTTTTGACATTTTGCACTTTTGGTTTGAAAACCCACTTTTTATTCAGAGCACATTCTAAGGTTGTCCTGGCTGTTTTAGATCAAGAACCATATGGGAGAAGAGGCACCACAGTAACAAAACCATTTTCAAGATTTTTTTTGTTTGCAGCTGTCCCTTTTAAATGCTTGACTTTTAAGAGACTGATGGACTCAATGCAAGTCTTTGTCTATCCCAGGAGAACTCCAAACTTGTTTCACCGGATTCTCTTTTGCTGTCGTGCTCTGTAAATGTCGTGTACAGGGGGAACTACAGATCCTTTCTCCTCATCGTCATCAGAATCTTCATGTGGTCTCTTAACAGCCTTATTGAGCATAGCGTTATTTTCCACAGGTCCATTGCCTTCCACAGCTATTTCAGGTAGGCCTCCAGTAATTATTCGTACAGCTTCATCAACAGCTTTAGAAAGAGAAGAAGATGAATTTGTGAAACTAAATTCCCTGATCAGAAATAAGCATGCAAACAGGGGCACCAACATAGATACACTGTGGAGATTTCTGGAACATGAGACGTTTTCCTGCCTTGTTCTACAAATGTTAAGAATTAAGACTCGACTGTCTAAAATTCTGAGCTATGGCAAATACTAATAATAAAGTAAATGCTGCTGCTTCAGCTTGAGACCTCCCTTTACTCAAGTCTTAATGTCATTTGCAAGCTTAATAGAACAGGAAAGCCTATTGGGGAAATGGTATAGCTAGTTCATGATTCATCAGACGTACGTGTGGCAAGTCAGTTTCTGCTTTTGAACAGAGAAAGCTTCAAAAATCCCATGTATAATTTAAAGAGATGTTTTATTTTCACTGTAAAACAAATTATATCCTAGCTTGCTTTCTCTCTGATCATTGGCTCCTTAACCTAACAGCGGGGCTGAAAGGCAGCATGTTATCATCTGCCATAGTTTACGTGAAGCCTGGGGTATGGATCTGTCCTGGTTTTATATTTCAGAACTCTGCCGCCTTTGAAGGAGCTCAGAAAACACCGTTCTTGAATTGTTCTCGAGCACTGCAACAATGTGCATTCAGAGTTATGCCTACTGATGAACTGACCATACTGCAAATTTGTAATTTAAAATTACATTTACAGTGCTGCTAGAAATAATGACTTGCTTCTTTTAAAGGATATTCTGAAGACCTTCATTTCTTTCTTTTAATGGTTACCATCAAAATGTTATTAAAGTAGCATCTGGTGATTTTCATCTTACTTTTTGTTGACCTCTTCACAAGTTAAATGTACAAACATCTCTATGTAAATTCCACCTACAAGTGTAGCCGATTCAACAGTATACTCTCAAATAATAATGACACATCTGTACATGAGGTCTGGATTTTAGACACCAATATCCATATGTAAAACAAAGTCATATGCAGCAGTATCAGAGACTGCAGAGTGAACAAGTAACTTACTG